TAACACATAACATACAATTGTTCCTATATATTAAACTCACCGTGAAATAACCAGGGGTTAAAATAGTAATTTGTGCAGCACTTCGTTATAATAATAAAGTTTCGTCGTTGAAAACCGGGCCCTGCGAGGGTTGGGCTTCAAACCGAAAAAATAAATTTCTCGGGTTTCTCGGGCACTTCGGGGCGTGTTTCGGGCGTTAGAAATAATCACAGGGCTTCGGGGGAAGTTGAAATAGTAGAAATATGAGTTTAGGGGTGAAAAAGGGGCATTTTCTCAAAAATACCCGGGAGGTCTCGCAACCTCCCTTTTATAGGGCCGAGGTTCGGATCCGAAGCGAGAGGTAAGGAGGACAGATGGTGCGAAGGTCGGACACGCGGCAGGGAGAGCGAGGCTCGGACGAGGCTGCACACGCGTCGCTCCTCGGACGCGCCATGGCTTCGGAAGCGAGGAGTCACCGCAACACGCGTCGGACGTCTACTGGACCGAGCTCGGACCCGGGAAGAACGCGACACGTGGCTGCTGATTCACCGAAATCGGCCTTATCCTTGCAAGATTCCTCGGAAAATGAGCCCAAATCTTCTAAAATCCATAACTTTCGCATACGGACTCCGTTTTTGACGTTCTATATATGCACGCGTAGGCAGGAATATATTCTACAACATTCATTTAGACTTCGTCGGCTAATTTTGACTTTATTTTTAATATTATTATTTTTAACAGACCGGGACTGATAAATCCGTTAAAAATTCATAACTTCTTCATCCGACGTCTGTTTTCGTCTGTCTTTTTACCGTTGTACTACTAATGACGAGACCTTCAATTATCGTTTAGGTTGTGTCGGCTAAAAATCAGTCGATCTAAAATTCGAGTTTTTAGCTGTCTGCTGCTAAGCTGAAACTTAGAAAAATCATAACTTCCTCATACGAAAATAGATTTGGGCGTTCTTTTTATCAAAATTCTCGGTTTAACAAATACTACGAATTTCGTTTAGATCACCAAGGCTAAAAATTAGTTTATCAAAAACTCAATTTTTACGTCATTCGGCGCCGTGCCGGTTTTGTCGCGGATCTTCGATTGGTCATAACTTCTTCGTTATAACTCGGATTTCGATGAGGTTTTCGTCTAAATGTTTCTAACGAGATTCTTTACAACTTTCAATAATAAAATTTTACTTATTTCAAATTTTATATTTTCGTTAAATTTTAGTATTTGACTTTTGATTGGAATCTCATAAGACTTCCAATATTTTTCGAGCGATTGTAAACATAGTTTACTTCATTTCTAGTAAAAACTATACGTTAGAACTCAATGCTCATAATTATATAATATTTCATAATATTATTCACTTTTAAAATTACATAACACGATAACTGAACGTGTATGTTACAAACAACTTCAAATCGATAACAATTTTGAGATTGAAAAACAATCCCATTCAAGTTTTCCCTTTTTCTTTTCCTAGTTGTCAGGTTGAATTTAGAAGGGTAAAAAGAAGTTGAAGAGAGGAAACAATGAACGTCAAAACCATTGTGCGGAGAGAGAGAGAGAGAGAGAGAGAGAGAGAGAGAGAGAGAGAGAGAGA